GTATTCAGTGCCCACCAGACCTTAAGGCGAATCATTTGAGGACAAGAGGTCATTTGAGAAGCCAACCCAGGGCAACCCAGGGGATGGAAGGAGGCTGAGCCAAGCTGTTATCGGGCAAGCGGTTCACTCGGGGACCCACCAAGGCTCCATCCCACCAGCCAAGGCCCTGGAACCTTCAGCCAGTGGCTTTACAGCCCCCTCGAGAAAGACAGGCTGACATTGGAACCCAGCAAGAGGAAGGCCCCGGTGATGCGGGTGCGGAAACAGTGTCCTCTGCTCCCAGGTCCCCACCTCTGGGAAGCCTGCAGTCTAGCTGGAGAGATAGATAAAAACGAATCAGAAAATGAAAGAATTATCAATCGTGCTAAGGCTGGAGAAGGAAACTGTCAGGGAGCTGGGACAGAGGCAGGCTGTGGGAACACCCCCTGTGTTAGTCTGTGGTCCAAGACAGCTTCCTGGGGGAAGTAACTTTGAAGCTGAGGTTAAGGAAGGACAGTATGTCGTGAGAAGTGGGAGAAAGTGGGTCTGAGAAACTCTTTGCATATGCAAAGGCCCGGTGGCAGGAAAAAGAAAGGGCCCAGGAAGCCATGTGGCTGGTGAGCAGTGAGCTCACCAGAGAAGGGAGGACACCAAGGAGACTGGGGAAACCAGTAGGGGCCAGTCCCCTTCTCTAGCTGGGAGTCAAGGCCAAAGCATTCCTTCCACCACGATCTCGGCCACCTCCCTTCTCAGTAGTGCTCCCACTGCATGTCTTCCTTGCTCTGCCTCCCCATCACTAGAGAAGGAAGTGCCTGTGTCCTGGAGAGGCCGGCCAGAGTGTCCAGGAGGAGAGAGCAGCATGGGGGAGAGGCCTAGTGGGGGACACCCAAGAAGCAGAGGCAAGCACGCCCCGCGGGACCTGTCCAGTGCATCTCGAAGCCCCAGATAATCCCCTCCTGGCGTTGCCACCACCTCCGAGTTATTTTTAAAATCTCATTTTCAGAAAGTGGAGGAGAAAACATTTCCCTGCTTTTTTCTGTGAAAGGTTCAGATAGGAGTCCGGAAAGGGGAGCGGACCCCGGAAGACAGGGGGTGTCCTGGGCAGCGCACCTGCAGGACCTGGGGCCTCTGCAGACCCAAGGAGTGGGACCCTCCTGGGGCAGCCTCCACAGAGGAGCCAGCTGGCATGTTATGGGCACCTACTAAGGGCTGGAGCACTGTAGGGAGAACTCCAAGTCTCCACCTTCCTGGGGAAAGGGGTCTAATGAAGACCATGGCAACGAGCCAGGGACCCACGGCTGGCTGGTCGGGGCCAGCAGCCAAGGCCATCTGGAACAATGGCAGGTGGTGGGGGACAGGGAGGGTGCCAGCAGGTGGAGGACCGCGTGCGTGGGCAGAGCAGAGTGAGCCTGCGTGGGCTGGCAGCACCCATGGGACCCCAGGGGCCGGGGAGCCCAGGGCCTAGAGGGGGGCACACTCAGGAGGGAAGGGAGTAACTCCTGATCCAGGAAGTGCTGAGACCAGAACGGGAGCCAAGGGGCCCCAGGCCAGAGGGAAAGAAGCCACATAAAGGCCTAGAGCTTGAGTCTGGGACCCCTGCCCTGCACTCCAAGCTACCTGAGGCTGGACCCCTTGTGCTCAGCGGGTTTAAACATCCCGAGAGGAAGTCAGGTGGACAGATGGGGCCATTGCGCTCCTGGGGGAGGGTCCTCTGGAGGGAAACTTGTCTGCCCAGCACCTGCTGTCAGTACCCCAGCCTCCCCCACTCCACCTCCAAGAAGGGCCAAGCTCCCAGGAGCCCATGTTGAAGCAACCTCAGCAGGGAGCCCAGGGAAGACAGGGGGGCCTCACAGAGGAGGTGGGCTGGGGGAAGGGGTCTCTGAGAGCAAATAGGGGGGAGCAAGGAGTTTCTTTAGGAAAGCATGGGTGTGGTGGAAGGGGATCGGGTGCTAAAAAAATTATTTACGGCACTTGTTGAAGAGGGTGGGACGGATTTCCTCCCATCACAACGGGTGCAGGGACCAGCGCTCTGGGGTCACTCTGGGCTCAGCGTGGGAGGATGAGGAAACTGATGGATGTGGAAGGCTGTCAGAGGTGGAGGGTGGGGGCTTCTTGCTAAAACTGGATGTCACAGGAGGGCGCAGATGGGCCCTGGAGAAGGTTCTGGAACCTGCCCAAGCAGAGAATGTCAAGGGCAATCCAGGGGAAGGTGTCGCATCAAGTCTGGGAGGTTGACCTGGTTGCAGCTGGGAGCAGGGAGGGGGTGGGGGTAGAGGGATTGGGCCTAGGTAGCGGGTCAGGGGCTCGGCTGCTAGACCTCCCCCCACCCACCCCACCTACCCCCCACCCCCGTGAGTCCCCTCCTCTCTGGGGCAGTAACAGCATCCCCTGGTGTGGCCCCCAGCAGGAGTGGAGCTGGAGGGAAGTCTGCAGAGGTGTGAGGTGGGAGCGAGCTGGCGCTCTCCCCCAGCTGCCGCCTCCAGGTGGGTGATGGTGTCAGCACCCCGAGGTTGCCCAGGGTCCCCTCCCCAAACGCCTTCTGAGCTGGGAGGGCTGCGGGGTGGGGAGAGCTGCAGGGATGCCTGGGCTGAGACCTGCCTGGGCCCGCAGCGCCATCTGCCGACCACATGGCAAGGCAGAAGCAGGCGCCTCCCCCAGGCCCCACCTGCCTGCTCCCTACCCCGGGGAGGAGGGGCAAGACCGTCCGCAGGCCTCCCTGCACCAGGGCTGGAGATCCTGGCTCCACCACTGACTGACGTGTGACCTCCGGCCCGGTTCCCACCCTTGGCAGGTTGGGGTAGGGGGAGACCGGCATGTGGCAGGACCCAGCCAAGGGGTCCTTGTGTCTTGCCATTTGCATGGTGAGGGGTTGGGAGAGGGGGACAAATGTCAGATTCCAGGACTCAGTCACTGACCCTCTCCGTGTCCCCTGGAGTATAAGTGGGTCCACAGAGGAGACTCCCACCCCTGGTACGATGTTAGAATTTCCTGGCACTCCAGCCTCCCCCGAACCCTGGAGAGACAGGAGCGCCCCACCCCTGAAGACCTCCATTTTACCCACCCAGGACCTGCCTGAAGTTCTCCCCCCAGAAACGAGATCACAGAAAACCCACTTCACCATCGACCAGGGCACTGCAGGAACCTAAAAGGCCCAACGGGGCCCTGGAAACGTCAGGGCCAGAACCTGTGAGGCCCCCAGGGCTTGTCCCCTTCTCTGTCTCTTCCCTTCTGCCTGGACCCCTAAAGGGAGGGATGGGCAGCCCTCGGGGGGCTCCCCTCCCAACCCCAAGGTCTCACTCTTGGCCCCAATTCCAAATTCCCAAGTGGAAGAGAGACCGGTTGGACCCTCTTATCCAGTCGTCCTGGCAAATATCTGAAAAGGACCTCTCCAAAGAACGAGGGCGCCCCATGTGATTCTGTGGGTGTCCGTAGAGGACGGTCTCCCCCAGCGAGGCTGACTTCACGCTGCCAGGATGACATGGAGCCCAGCAGAGACATGGGGTGGGTCCCTGCAGGTAGATCCCTAGCATCACGTGACCGCTAGGGCACCGTGAAATCTAGTCCAATACTCAGGAAGGGATAAGTTTGGGGTATTAGCACCCATTTTTAATATAATGCACGTAACTGCGAGCTTCTGCGGCTCTCTTTAACAGCCAACTCTCCACGTTCCTGAAAACTTAGGAACAGTCAGGAGAGCCATTTTGGGGCTGCCCCAGCACAACACCTCTGGCCAAGGCCACCGGGCAGAAAGGTCCCCAGGACATACCCCAGAGGCACTGGAGGACTAGCCTCGGAGAAGGGGTGCTCCCCCAAACCCCTGCTCTGGCAGCTTGGCAGGATCCGGCTTTCTGGATCCTCCTTCACAAGTGAGCATCTGGGAGCTCTAAGCCGGCCCCCTTGGCGCGCTGGGACAGAGGAACTCAAGCTCGGGCTTTCCAGCAAACAGGGGTGCAGACCGTCCATTTCAGAGCCACCCGAGGACCGGCTTCACCTCTGGGCCTTGGGGGGAATCACAGTCCCCGCCGCGTGGGCTTGCGGTCAGGTGTAGGACTCCAGGTGACGAGCTCAGAGAGCGCCAGGGACCCGGGGAGGCCTCGATAAGCCATTGTCCTCACTCACCTCGCCCTCTGCGGGCCGTCTCCCCCAGCCCCTGCCCCCGGCTGCAAATCCAGACACCCTTCCCACTGGAGCGTCGTGGGGTCCGACCCCAGTCAGATCCGGCAAAGGCGTCCACAATGCCCAGGGGCTGGGCCAAGCTGGGCATCTGCCCTGCACCAAGCACGGCTCCCAGAAAAGCAGTTTGAACGTCAAAGCACCCAGGGGAGGGTGGGCATCGCCAGTCCCCCGTTTAGAAAGAGGTCGCGGCTTCAGGGAATTCATCCAGCCAGCGGCCCCGCAGCTGGAATTTGAAGCCCGGGGGTACGCAGCGGCTGTCTGCTGTCTGTGAGACACAGGGCTGTTTCCAGAAAGCAGGGCTGCCTGCACCGTGTGGCCGCAGGGGCTGGAGCCCGGGGCTTGCTGGGCATTGGGAGATGCTCATGGGTCTGCAGGTAGATGGCCCAGCCACAGGTCCCAGCCCCAGCACTCCCTTGTCCCTGCAACAGCCTCGCCCGCAGTCCCCCACCTATAGGGCCTCCAGCAGCCGAGTGTGGGGACAAGGGACCATGCTGGGACCTGCTTTCTCTGCAACCTTGCAACTGAACTATGGCCCCATGTGATGGGGGGGTCATAAAGAACCTAATTCTGCCACTTTTCCCTGGTACAGAACATGTATCTGTCACCTACTGCTGTGTAACGGATGACCCCCAAAAATGCATCAGGAACACACACACACTGTGCCCGGGACAGTGTCCAGTTCCACACCTCTGGCCTGGGAAAGGGCCATGAGCACTGGAACCATTGTGACCTCGGGCTGAGATCAGGGCCGCCTGGGGTGGGGGAGGGGGAGACACAGAGATAGGGCAGCCCCACCTGGCGTGAGGACAGAGCTGGAGGGTGGGTTCTCCAAACCGCACCCCAACATGGACGGGCAGCACTCGGAAAAGCCACACAGCCACACCACGGCTGATAGGATGTCATCGACCACGTCCCAGAACCCCAGGTCAGCCCAGCGCCAGGCTGGGACACGTGGGAACCCAGAAGGGGACGCCCGATGCCCTACTTCCCACAGGTACCCTGGCTTCTCCATTTTTCAGAAGAGCGCCTCCCTGCGGGGCAGCAAGGGGCACCCCCGGGACGCATCTGGGGCTGAGCTCCAGGCCCTGAGCCAGGGAAAGAGGTGTCCCTGCAGCCAGGAACAGCGCAGGGGTGGAGGGAGGTGGGCGGCGGCTTCGGGTCGAGCCCCACCTGGCAGCCCTTGACTTGGTGGAGGGGGACTGGGAGGGAGGAGGCGTCCAGAGGTGGCGCGGCTGTTGGCTGCTTGTGAGGCTGGCAGCGTGTCACCATCCATGTCCACATATGCCCGCTGCAGGAGTGGGTGAGGGGACAAAGGGACAGATGGACAGACCCTTCCCGGCGCCTCCGCTTCTTACCTGCAGAATGGGCAGCCGCACGACGGCCCGCGTCCCAGCAAAGACGCAGCGCGCCCCGAGCAAGGCTGCTACAGCAGGGCAGGGGCTGGCGGGGGCAGGGCAGGGGCTGGCAGGCTCCCTCCCCTGCCACCTCAGACCCCCAGGGCGCCATCCCCAGGGCGGGGGCGGGGGGGGGGAGCCTGGGGCAGCCCAACTCTCCAGACTGTCCCTGGGCGCGTCCTGGAGCAGGATTCCCGTGTGTGATGCCCATGGTGGCGGGCTGTTCCAGAAGGAGCAGCCTCGTACCTGCTTTGAACTCGGTTATTTTGGTCTGCACACAGTTGTCTCCATGTGTGTGTTGTCAGGCCCGTCTCCTCCTCTGCCACATCTTGGATCACTTCGAAGGCGAGAAAACGCTCCCCTCTGTGGCTGTTTGCCTGACTCTGCTTCTGTCGTTTCTCTGTATTTAAAAATATATTCAGTTTTGGTCGTCACAGGGCTAGATGCCGTTTTAGGGCAAGATATGGGCCAAGAGCTGGTGGGTGACACTGAGCAGCCGAGTTCCCTCCCGGGTGCAGAGGGGAGCTGTGCTCCAGCCCTTGGTGACATGCCCACAGAGGTAACACCAGCTGGCCTCCGTTGGGAAGGCCACACGTTCTGGGAGTGGCAAGGAAGTGGCTGGTTTTCTGAGAGGGGGTGGGAAGGTTCAAGTGTGCACTGAGCCACGCCAGCCAGGATGCACGGTTGGGGCTCAGGCTGGGTCTAAACCAGCATCGTCCCACAGAGGCTGTGTGTCCTGGGACACAGATCGCTGAACCTCTCTGTGTCTGAGCACCCCTCGGGGTTATGGTGTGAGGACAGTATGGAGTGTGACGAGGTGGGGTGGAGGGTCCGAAGTGAGGTGGTGAGGGGGGCACCCATCCCCCTCCGGCAGGACATTCTGTGCTGCTGGGGATGGTGCTCCGCACCACCGGACACCTTCATCTGGACGTCGCTCACTCCAGCCACCCAGCACCCCCACACTGGGCACCTGTCGGACAGCCTCACCCCAGCGGCACCCCAACGGCCGAGGCTCCCGGACCAGGCTGTCTGACATGGCCCCACAGCTTGTCCAAACCCTGTCCCTGGTCGATTTCTCCATCTCACTGTCCCCAGCTGGCGCAGGACAGAGTCTGTCCTTCCCCTCTGCCCCAGGACGCGAGCACAATGAGGGAAGGGCCTTCTGTGCGTGTTGTTCAGATGAACCCCTAGGGCCTGGAGCAGTGCCTGGCACGCTGCAGGCCTTTAATAAGTCCTCACTGAGGGAAGGAAGGTGGGAAGGGATGAAGAGGGCCCGGGAACCGCAGAGACGGCCAAGGCCTCTGTGCCAACACCTTGTAAGTGCGGTCATCCCGGCACGTGCCCCAGACACGGGAGCTTCCCGAGGACCGTCTGGCTCAGCGCAGACATGAGACATCTCTGGCAACCCCGGGAGTGTCCCCTGCTTGGCCGCCTGGTCCCTGGTTCCCCAAGAGGCAGACGGTGGGGAGGGTCCTCAGTTTGGGCACGGCTATGGGATGGAGTGAGCACGAACACCATCTGGGAAGGGAGCTGGAGGAGGCCAGGCTGCCAGGAACGGCTCCAGGAGCACGGGAGGAGGCGGGTCTCGCTGTGCGGAAGGCCCCCCGAGGCAGCGCGTCTCAGCCTCGCCCGCTCACTCGCGCCTTCTGTCCACCTTCACTGGCAGCCTGCCTGGGACGTTCTGGGGACCGGGGGACAACCAACGCATCCCCAGGGATACCTGGGAAGGAAGAGGGCCAGCGGCTGGTCAGCAGTGACACCAGGGAGCAGGGACAGCCAGGGAGGGCCCTCAGTCAGCTGGGGAGTCGGGGGAGGCACCCCCACGATGCTCTTTCCAGGTCAAGAAGGCTGAAGGGTGGGCCTCTGTGCATTGCCCTGAAAGGGACAGGGAGAGAGGAGGAGAAAGGACCCACGCTCTGGGTAGCGGGCCCAGGAGAGCAAAGGCCGACCAGTAAGTGGAATGAGCTTGGACAACTGGAACTTGGCAAGGGCGCAGTGAGGGAGAGAGCTGGGGGGCGGTCACGGGGCTTTTCCAGAGAGGAGAATGGGCTGCTGCTTTGATACATCACTCTTCTGGTCATCCCGATACCCGGTGCACACCTGCCTGGTGTGTCGGGCGCTGTTGTAGGTGTTGGGGAATACAACTGGAGACAAGACATTAAAATCCCTGCCCTTGGGGCTACCTTCCAGTGGGGCAGACGGCCCACAAACAGTGGATGTAATAAAGTAAGTTATATACGATTACAAGTTTAAAAGTGATGGGGGAAAAATTGAGGGGGGTAGGGGTAGAAAGGAGAGTGGGGTCAGGCTGCTGTTTTAAATAAGTTCATCATTGAGCCAAGACTCGAAGGAGGCGAGAAACTGAGCCAAGCAGCTCTCTGGAGGAAGGTTGTTCCCCAGACCAAAGGGTCAGACTGAAGGGTACGAAGGTCCTGAGGTAGAAACAGGCCTGGCGGTCTGAGGATCAGCAGGACCTCAGTGTGACTGCGATGGGGTACGCAAGAGAAAGCAGAAGGAAACGAGACCAGAGAGAGGGTGATATTATTTCTGTTCTTAGAGATCTTGCTTTTTTTTGGTTATGGTATAATTTATGTAGAGTAAAATTCACTCTCTTTAGTGGATAATTCTGAACGTTTTGACAAAGTCATACAATTGTGAATCTACTACCACAAGCAAGATAGGAAACCGGCCTTTCTTCCCCAGAATCCCCCCCGTCCCCTTTGTCGTCAGCCCTCCCCCAACTCCCCATCCTCAGAGGCCACTAATCTGTTTTCTGTTTCATTGACCTTCTTCAGAAAGCCATCAAGATGGGCTCAAGAGCGTGGCTTTCCGGGCTTGGTTTCTCTCACGTGGCTTGATGAGTCTAAGAATCGCCCACGCTGTTGCGTTTCTCGGGGATTCCTTTCTTTCTGTTGCTGATCGTGTTCCCGTGGATGCAATAGTTTCCTTACGCACTTATCCACTCACCAAAGAACCTGTGCATTTCTTCAGTTTGGGGTTCTTCCACACAGAGCCATTACCAACGTTCACATGCAGATTTTGCGTGAAAGTAGGTTGTGACTTCTGGGGGTGGAGGGGCAGAGTCGGGTTCAGCCTGCTCAGAAAGTCAGAAAGCACCCCCGGCTCACAGCCTCAGCAGCTCTCTGCGAGAGGTCCAGGGACCCCACAGCCTCACCGGCCCTTGGTATTTTCAGGCTTTTCCCCGGTTTTAGCCATTCTGGTAGATGTGTAGCAATATCCCACTTTGGTGTCCACTTGTTTCCTTCGTGAAGAATGATGTGGGGCACTTGCTGTGTGCTTCTTGGCCATCTGTGTGTCTCCTTTGGTGGGACGTCTGCTCACATCTTCCTTCTGTATTTTGTTAGACTGTTTGTGTTTGTGTCTGAGTTTATATTTTGTTTCATGAGTTATTTATGTATTCTGGATACGGATCTTTATGAGATAGGGGATTTGCAAATACTCCCTCCAAGTACACAGCTTATCTGTTCATTTTTTTCTAGATGTCTTTCAAGAAGTTCTTAATTTCAATGAAATCCAACTTAATATTTTTTCTTCTATGGATTGTGCTTTTGGTGTAACATCTAAGAAATCGTTGTCTAACCCAAGATCGCAAAGATTTTCTCCTACATTTTCTTCTAGAAGTTTGGATCCCAGGTTTTACTTTTAGGTCTGCAATCTATCCTGAGTTAATTTTTGTATGGAGTGTGAAGTATAAATTGGGGGCATTTTTGCATGTGTACATGCAGTTATTGCACACCATTTGTTGAATACATTTTCTTAATTGAATTCTTTTGCACTTTTATCAAAAATCAGTTGGCCTTGGGGCGGCTGGCTTGTTCAGTGGGTAAAGCGTGCAACTCTTGATCTCAGGGTCGTGAATTCAAGCCCCACATTGGGTTTGGAGCCTACTTTAAAATTTTTAATTAAATTAATACAGCTAAGTTTTTTTAAAAGTCAGTTAGCCTTGTACATGTGACTCTTTTTCTGGACTTTTTGCATTGAATATTTAGATATATTTTTACAAAACTGACATCTTAATAATATTAAGTCTACTGATCCATGAACATGGTATATCTCTCTCCACTTATTAAAGTTGTCTTTATCTCTTTCATTGCTATTTTACATTTTACACTTCATAGACCTTACAACTACTTGTTAGACAGTGTACCTAAATATCTCATGATCTTGAATGCTACTGTATATGGTACCTTTTTATTTTCAAGTCCCAGCAGCTCATAGTGTAGAGAAATATGACTGATTTTACTTCTGCAAATTTACTGGACTCACTGTTCAGTTCTGGTAGGTTTTGGTAGGTTCTTTGGAATTTTCTAAGTAGGTGATAACATCCTCTATAAGTAGAGATCGCTCATTTCTTCCTTTCCAGTCTGCACACTTTTAATTTCTTTTCTTACCTGTTTGTACTGACTGAGCCCTCAGTACCATATTGAATAGAAATGGTGAAAACAGATGTCCTTCCCTCATTCCCAATGATGTGGGGAAAACATTCAGTCTTTCACCATTAAGTATATTAGCTACAGGATTCTTGTAGATGTTTTTAATCAGGTTAAGGAAATTCCTTTAATTCTTGTTTTTATTGTGTACAGATGTTGCATTTTGTCACATCCTTTCTCTGCATCTACTGAGATGATCATAGTATTTTCTTCTTTCATCTACCAATACGGTAAGTTACACAGACTGATTTTCAGTTGTTCAACCAGCCTTGCCGGCCCAGGATAAGGCACACTTGGTCATGGTAGATATGCATATCTGTATATTTTGGATTCATATGTTAAGGAAGCTGTGGTGTCTTTCTTTGGTTTTAGTATCAGGGGACTAATGCTCACCTCACTGAATGAGTCAGGAAGTGTTCCCTTTTTAATTTTCTGGAAGAGTTGTGTGGTATTGTTATCATTTCTTCCTTAAATGCCTGGTAGAGTTGAAGAGTAAAGCCACCTGGGCCTAAAGTTTTCTTTGTGGGAAGGTCTTCAACTACAGATTCAATGTTTTTAACAGACAAATGTCTATTCTAGTTATTCGATTCTTCTTGATTGAGCTTTGGTATTTTATGGCTAAGGAATTCACTTAATCTGAGTTGTCAAATTTATTGGCACCAAGTTGTTCATAATATTCTCTCATTATTCTTTTAATGTCTGTAGGATCTTTAATGATGTACCTATTCTCACTCTTTATATTAATAATTTATATCTTCTTTTTTTGCCCTAATAAAGCCTGATAGAAGTTTATAAAATGTATGTATCTTCTCAAAGAGCTGGCTTTTGGTTTCATTGATTTTCTCATTGTTGTTCTGTTTGTACTTCACTGATTTCTCCTCTACTTTCTATTATTTTCTTTCTTTGGGCTTAATTTGCCCCTTTTCCCCTACTCTCTCAAATGGAAACTTAGGTCATTGATTTCAGACCTCTATTCTTTTCTAATACTATAAGTTTTAATGCTATAAAGTTCCCTCAAAGCACTGCTTTAGCTACACCCCATGCATTTTTATATGTTGTGTTTTCATTTTCTTTTAGTTCAAAATATTTTTTACTTTCTCTTTTATTTTCTTCTTGACACATGTATTATTTTAAATTGTTGCTTAGTTTTCAAAATATTTGGGGATTTCCCATCTAACTTTCTGTTATTGATTTCTAATTTCATTCTATTGTGGTCAAACAGTATGCTTTGTTTGATCTGAATCTTTTAAACTTATTGAGACTATTTTATGGCTCAGAATATCATCTATTGTAGATGTTGCACGTGCACTTGAAGAGAATGTGTGTTCTTCCATTGTTAGATGGAGACTTTTGTAAATGCCAATTAGATTACATTAGGTAAGAGTATTATTTAAATCTTTTATATCCTTAATAATTATGTCTTCTTATTCTATCAATTATTGACAGAGAGATGCTGAAAGCTTCAACTATGATTCAACTATTCAACTATTTCTCCCTTTGGTTCTATCTTTTTTGCTTTATATATTATGAAGTTCTGTTATTAGGTGCCTGAACATTTAGAATTGAAAGTCATCTTGATGAGTGATCCCTTTATCATTATGAGCTGATTCTCTTTATCCCTGGTTATATTATTCACTCAAAAATATACTTTTTCTGATATTAATATAGCCTCTTCTGTTTTCTTTTTGATTATTGTTAACATGATGTACCTTTTTCATCCTTTATTTTTCATTGATTTTTGTCTATTATATTTCAAGTGTATTTCTTATAGGCAGCATATATTTGGGTGTTGATTTTTTACTCAATTTGACAGTCTCTGCTATTTGATTGAGATATTTAAATCCCTTGCATTTAATGTGACTATTGATATGATTCGGTTTTAATCTATCATCTGGCAATTTGTTTTCATTTTGTTTCTTCTCTTCTTTTTTCTATTTTTCCTCTTTGCCTCTATATCTTTTGTTGGCTTATTAGCTATATATATTTTTGTTTTACTCTCTGATTTTTCAGTGATGGCTTAGGGCTTATGGTTTACAGATTTACTATATCACAGCCTACCCTCAAGTGATATTATGCCACTTTACTTATAGTATAAGATTCTTATAATATTTTATTTCCATTTCCCTCTCCTGGCCTTCATGGTATTATTGATATATATTTTACTTCTACATTTGCTGTAGGTCCTACAAAGCATTGTTATTTTTACTTTAAACTTGAAAAATAAGAAAAAATACTTTACATTCACCTACGTACTTACCATTTCCACTGTTCTCTATTCTTCTGTGTATTTCCATATTTCCATCTGGTGTTATTCTCCTTCTGCCTAACAGATTTCCTCAAATGTTTCTTATAGTGCAGATCTGCTGGTTACAAATTCTTTCAGCTTCAGTGTGTATGATAAAGGTTTGGCTATATCATCAGTTTTTAAATTTTTTTTCTCTGAGTATAAGATTCTAGTTTGCCAGGTTTGTTTGTTTGTTTGTTTGTTTGTTTTCTCTTAGTGCTTTAAAATGTTGCTCCATGTCTCCAATGATTGCATTATTTTTTTTTGAGATTTTTTTTTATCTTTTATTTAACAAAGAGAGACAGACAAAGATGGAACACAGCAGGGCAGAGAGAGAGGGAGAATCAGGCTCCCCATAGAGCAAGGAGCCCAAAACAGGGCTCAATCCCAGGACCCCAGGATCATGACCTCAGCCGAAGGCAGATGCTTAATGACTGAGCTACCCAGGTGCACTGCTTGCATTATTTCTGACTAGAACTATACTCTGGCTCTTATCTTTATACCTTTGTATATAATGTGTCTTTTTTTTTTCTCTGACTTTCCTCTGGCTTTTTTTCTTAAAATTTTTCTTAGCGTTGGCTTTAGGCAATTTTATTTTAATGTTATTTGGTTTAGTTTTCTTTATGTTTCCTTCACTTGAGGTTCATTGAGTTTCTTGGATATGTGGGATTTTTAGTTTTTATTAGTTTAGAGACTTCAGGTATTATTTCCTCAAATACTGTTTTCTATCTCCCTTTCTTCTTCTGTGAGAATTTACATTACATATACACTATGCCCTTTGAGGTTGTTCTATAATTCACTGATTGCTCTATTCCATTTTTTCCAGTCTTTTTTCTATTTGTGTCCCATTTGGGGGTAGTTTCTGCTGTGGTATCTTCAAGTTCACTAATCTTTGCTTCTACTGTGTCTAATATGCTGTTAAACTTATCCAGTGTCTGTTTAATCTCAAATGTTGTATTCTTCACCTTGTTCATGTTTTCCATGTCTCTCCTTTGCATGCTTCTGTCTTAACCTACCATGTTGAACATGTGGAATATTGTTACAATAACATTTAATGTCCTTGTCTACTAATTCTATCATTTGTGTCATTTCTGTGTTGCTTTTTATCAATTATTTTTTTCTCCTACTTAGGGGTCATAATTTCTTGCTGCCATGTGTGCCTGGTAATTTTTTATTCAGTGTGAACAGGACAAAAATCATCAACTAATTCTATAGATACATTATGTGGTATATTAGAAGATGGTTCATTTCTTTTAACATTTACCTATTAATTTGTTCTACCACATAAGAAATGTATGTCAGATCATGTCATTCAAAACACTCAGGTTTCCCACTGCATTCAGGAAAAACCCTAAAGTCCTGAAGATGATGAAGACAACACCAGTGCTTCCCTCCAAGATGGAGCAACAAGGACGAGGTTCCTCCTTCTGCCTTAAACAACTCAAAAATTGGGGGAAAAAATATACAATCCCACTAATATCAGACATTAGATATCCATATATCTTTAGTTATATCCTTAGTGGCTAGAATGAACACACCATGCCCGTGGTCAGTACTCAGGAACTGGGAACTGTGAGTGAACAAGAAATGAGGTCCTGCAGCAGGTAGAGCAGAACCCACTCCTGCCAGGGAGGTCCAAGGGGAAGTTGTGAGACAAACAACTTGGACACTACCCCAAAAATAAAGGATGCCTCCTTTTTTGCCCCACTCTGGCAATGAACACAGTCTGAAGGAGTCCTGCCCCCATATTTTCCAAAGAAGAGGTGAGGGAGAGGAAGTAGTAAAGGAAACTCACGGGCTGATGTCCTCCCTTGCCCCTGCCACACAGCTCTTCTTGGTGTCTCCATCATGCACACATAATTGTTCTCAAGCACCAGGATGATGGGACCTGGGACACAGAGGGGGTTCTGGTCCAGTGCACCCATCTTCATGGCTCCTGCTCCCACCTGCTCTGCAGCTCTTAGGCCTCCCTCAAAGACCCCTTCAGTGGCATCTGGGTAGCCAGGGCAGTCTTGTGTGTGGTCCTGAAAAGACTGGCTCCTCCAAGTCGGTGTAAGAGCTGGATCTGGGGATGCCATACCCTGAGCCCTCCAGGTCTTGCCAGTCATGTCTTTGCCACCAACACTTGCTAGAGGTCAGTCCGTTCCAGACCCACAGGCAATGCTGCCTACTTAACAACATCCCTGAGGCCTCCAAACTCCTTCCCTACTCCCCCTTTGGAGTTTATTCAGATCATTGAACAGAAAGGCGGACACACAGAAGGATATTGCCAAGCCTGATCCTGACCAACATGGTTCTCAGTGTCTACTGGGCTTGCATTTGTGAATGCACACAAAGGTGCCCAGATACACCCTGGACCTCTTTTCCATTTCAGAATCTTCTCCCCTGTCTCCAGATCCACGAAGGACCTATCTTACATGAAGGTACCTGCCCACAGGGACAGACAGGCACACCCCACCACCATCCTGCTCTGCAAGTCACAGAGCAGCCAGGCTGCTCTGGTGCCCAAGGAGCACAAGATGTTCATGGAGGAAGCCTACAATGCAGGTGATCACCAGTCCTGGGACTCTGGCAGGGTGGAGATGGGGTGGCCAGGTTCAGCAGACCCCATCAGGTCCCTCCACTCAAAAAGTCCTGGGGATGAGGACCAGAAGGAATCCACACCCCTGGGATCTTGGGGATGTCAAGGATTTTGTGGACATAGTGAGACTTTTAGCAGAGAGCCCTACACACCCTTCTTGGCCTCTTCATGCCTCCTGAGGCACCATCTAAAGGCTAAAAAAAATCCTCCCTCCCTCCCACTTCACCTTCCACCTTCTTCCCACACTTCTTCATGCCTTAGGACCTCAGTCTAGGCCTAGCCCTCTCACAGGAATCCTTTCCCCCTCATTCAAAGGATGACTTGCTTTCATTCTTCTAGGCAAAGTTAAATTGCCACCTCCCTTGAGTAACCAGTCCTGAATGTCCCTCCATCTTTGTAGGGATGTATTGCCCCTCCCCTCTCTGTGTGCCCAGGGCTTTTTATAGAACTACAGAACCAGAGTCCACTGTTAGTGGGTAGGACTCCCATGGCCTGGAGGCTCCTTCAGAACTGAGCTAGGTGCTGACTCCTCTTTGAGCCCTCACTCACAGCCCTGTGATGACCCAGAAGGAACATCATTGAATGTTGAATGACTAGTTGGAGTGTGAAGAGGTAAATGAATGACTAGATAGAGGGACAGAAGGATGGATGGCTAATTTGAGTGGATGTGTGATGGATGGATGAATAAATTTATGAATGGATGGGTGTATGGACAGGTAGATAAATTTGTGAGTGAATGGATGACAGACGGATAGATGGATACATTTATTAATGCATGGATTGATGGGTGAGTATAAGGATGGACAGACAGGTGGATGGATAAATGAACTGATGGACAAACAGACATATGGGTGAATGTGTGAGTGGATGGATAGATGAATCAATGGGTAGGCAGATGATAGACGACTGGATAAATGAATGCATGAAAAAGTGGTTGAATCAATGAATGGATGGAAATATGCCTGGGTGTATAAAGGTGTGAAGCCTTCATGCATTCCTGCTTATTATTCTATTGCAAACTCCAGGAGGACTGTTTGGATAGTCAGGAATTCCCAATGTGTTCAGTTCTTCAGTCCTCATTTTCAGATCATTCTTTCCCATTCCTGGCACTACTCCTTCCCTTCCCACTTATCCCTGATGGCACAATGTAATCTTCCCACAGCACATTAACCCTCACACCTTTATCTATCTTCTTCAGCCATTTGTTTCAAGATGCTCCGGGACCTGAATAGTTCAGACCCCCTCCGCTTGAAGTACATCATCAAGAAGATCAATAACATGGCTTATGGGGCCCCCAACCTGGTGCTGGAAACGATCCATGACTACTTTGTAGACAACCCCGAGGTGGGAATTGCTTGAGCCATTGGAGGGACTGCATGGGGAGTAAAGGGGAGGGCCAGACCCCAGGCCAGTTCAAATCTTGGCTCTTTGGTAAAGCTAAATGATTTGGGGCAAATTGATGTCCTCATATGTCCAATAGGCTGAGTGGGGAGGGAGGAAGATGGACCAATATGAGGGTTCTGAGGGTGTGGTCACCCTCAGAATAGCCTCATGGTATAGAAGCTATGATCCCCATAAATAAGAAAACAATCTTGGGAAAGGGATGTGATCTGCCTTAAGTCACAGAACAATTAAGTGGCAGAGACAAATAAATGGATGGGTGGATGGATGGATGGATGGACAGATGGTTGGATGGTTGGATTGTTGGTTGGATGGTTGGATGTATAAGTAGGTGGGTGGGTGCATGGACAGATAAATGGATAGCTGGTTGTATGAATGGATGGATGGATGGATGGATGGATGGATGGATGGATGAGTATGTGGATAGATGGGTGGATGGATGAATGGGTGGATGAATGGATGGATGGATGGATGGATGGATGGATGGTTAGGTGGGTAGGTGGATGGTTGAATAGATGTTTGGATGGGTTGATGGGTGGATAGTTGGGTGGGTGGACGGACGGATGGATGGATGGGTGGATGGATGTTTGGATAGGTTGGTAGATAGACGGATAGATAATTAGGGGGAAGATCTAATTAACTTTTAATGAATGGGTGAATGAATGAATGAACTGACTATAGAGGCAGAATGCTTTTAAAATCCCATAGCAGGGACGCCTGGGTGGCTCAGGTGATTGAGCACCTGCCTTTGGCTCAGGTGATGATCCCAGGGTCCTGAGATCAAGCCCCACATCAGGTTCTCTGCTCAGCCAGGAGCCTGCTTCTCCTTCTCCCCTTGCTCTTCCCTACCCCACTTGTGTGCTCTCATATGTGTGTTCTCTCTCTCTTTCTCTCAAATAAATCAATAAAATCTTTTAAATTTTTTTAAAAATAAGAAAATAAAATCCCATAGCAGTTCCTAAGGATAGAGACACTTTTATTCGTCTGTCTTTGTAAAACCTAGTTCAGGGCCTGCATATAGTGAATGTTCACTAAATTGTTATTGGACAAATGGCCAAGTGCATCCACTGTGATCCTCTCCCACATCCCCACACCTAGGCTTTCACTGGCAGCCACTCCCCGTGTGACCAGACCCAACGTGTCTCTGAATCTCTGCCCACTCTGCCACTCACAGATCTCCTCCCGACACAAGTTCCGGCTGTTCCACGTCCTGGAGGCAGTCATTGAATCCAGTGACTCCCTGGAGGAGGCCTGGGAGAAATCGTTCATGCAGCTGGCCCTGGAGAACATGACCAAGTCCACGGTGTGCCTCCCATCCCAGCAAATAGGCTACTTCTGGGAATGCAGGCTGCTGCCCTCAGCATCCAAACAATGGTGGGGGTGCCTGGCCCTGTGGTTGACCAAGCGATTTCTGTCCTTCTCGTTTTCTTACCAGCAGCCCCTTCAGAGGGACAATCTCATGTGCCCGTTTTACAGTTGAGAAAGATGAGATTCGGAGAGATCATTGCTTGTCTGAGCCTACAGGGCCCCAAAATGGAGGAGCTGAATGTCAGCTGCGGTTTAGTGCCCTTTCCTGGAAGTCTCTGCCGTGGGTCCCCCCCCACCACCTGCTTTACCATTCCCATGCCTGCTTCCCACACTCAGCCTCTGGAAGCCCTCCTATGAGCCCCACCCATTCTCCATGTTTAAGTCAGCCTCTGCTGCCACTTTCTGGGTCCCACCTGCTGGAGACCGCACCTCTCCTCCCCGCCCCACCTCAGGATGCAGTCCGGGTCCCAGGACCTTCCCCAGGTCTGTCAATGGCCTCAGGGACTTCAGATCCCAGGACTTGCAGAGGGCTGCAGGACAAGCAGAGCCTACCGACATCTGGGGCGGCCTGGCTCAGCCTCCCTTCAGGTGGACAAGAGCCCCTTGGAGGCAGGGTGACACCTGTTTCTGCACACGCCACTGCCCACCGCCAGCTCTCCAGTGCAGCCCAGTGCGAGCACTTCTATATGTAGCACGAGCTGGTCCAGGACTCAGAGGGGAGAGCAGGCATGTCCTCACCCAGGTCCCAGCCAACTGAGCATGTCTGCTGGTGTCTTGGTATCCATCCAGCCCCATCTGGGACCCCCCGTAGCCCATCCCAGCCAGGGACAGCGTCTCAGAGACCCAAGCCTTCCTCTTTCCTGGCTCACTCTCCTGCTTTGGAGACACACTCTCCAGCAGCTTCTTGAGAACGTGTGTTTGGGAAGTACAGCTTGAGACCAGGCATTTCTGGAAATCTGTCTGTCCTGGATCATCCCGGACTCTGTGTGGGAGACTGTGGACAGAAACATCTGAAATGAAGTCAGGACAGTCAGGGTGGTTCCCAAGGCCACGCGGGAGGTGGATCTCATCCACCTGGATGAGTGTGCACTTCAGGCCGAGCTGACCGCAAACGGCCACATTGTGTTGCATTTCCCAGAAGGAGGCTGAACACTGACCTAACAACCAGCATAGTGACCCAGCCTGTGTAGCTCAATGCTGATTAGTTTTGCCGACACCGATCGTAACTCTCAAACGGCTTCACTTAGCCTGTGGCTTTTGTCTGTACAGACTCTTTCTCCTCCTCCAGTCCAAGCACGTTTCTGTTTCCTGTTGAAATGGGATTGGGGGTGGGGGGGGTTCCCTTTGGGATTCCCAGACCCCAAATAAACTTTTGGTTTGCTTTGCAGCTCAGTACTTTCCCGTCCGACAAGATCATTGTCGTGTTGGTAACGGTGTCCCGTGGTGGTCTTCAAAGCCGGTTGTCAGGCCTTTGTTAGACCTTTGTCCGCCCACACCTTCCTGCTGACAGACGTGCCTTCTTCCTTGTGTCTGCATGCCCTACAGCTCCCCAAGGACGCCTCGCTCTGGGTCTGTCCCTCACCACCATGCCTTCCAGCCCTGCCTCCTGCAGTCTGGCTGCTTGGGCCCTTTGCTTCTGGAACATTCACTCATGGTCTCACCCCCTGGGTTCCTCGAGCCCCCGAGGCTCCAGGGACACCTAACACACCGGTGCGGGCTGCTCCATGGTCCCCAGTGTTCTCATTGGCATTTCCGGGTCTGGTCCTCGTGCCTTCGACTCTCCCTCGATCTTGATTTTGTCCCCAGAATGTTCCTTTTCGCATCATGCTGTTTATAGCATTTGTGGTTGTAATACCTCCGCTTATCTCTCAGGATGTTAAAGACAACAGCTTCTCTTTAAGTTTTCATCTCTCCGTTTGGCCGGCATTTCCTCCAACGAACTGTTTTCTGAGTTTCGTGGGGTGTGTGGTGGTGGTTTCTGTCTCCCACACCCGAGGCTTCTCCAGCGTGGCTGTCTGCCCATGGTTAGCGCGGAGAGGGAGCGCGCTCTCTCTCAGGGTCCACTGTAGCTACCAGTGAGCCCACGGCAGCCCGGCGCCTCTGCTGACCTCTGTGGCTTTTGTCCTGGGCTGCCCAGATTTCCCAGAGAAGACCATAACACACTGTCCGGCCAGGGCGGGGGGCCCCCGGGCAGCAGCACGGTGGAGGGCCTGGCTTCCCGCCACAGACCGTCGCCTGCCCCCTCCGGAGGCTGAGCCTCCAGACTTTGCTGGGCCCTGCATGTGTGCAGAGTGGGCACAGCACCGGGCACCTGACCCCCTCTTGAACCGCCGCACCCTCTCTGGGCCCCTGGCTGCAGAGGTCTGGGAGACGTGCCCCCTGCGAGTCTCCCAGCAACGGCGGACCCAGCCCCGTGGCCCGTGCTCAGCCCCGTTACCTCTCACTCATCGGCTCTCCAGCTCTCAGAACGTGGCTGCTGTTTTCCTTTTTAAATCATCTCCTAAATGTCGTCGTGTTGAGGTGTTATTTTGAAAGAGCAAAATCAGCTTCAATCCACCGCCTTAATGAGAAAGCCCTTGTATGGAAACTTGGAGTAAATTATAAACGGCGATGATGTCATACGAGGATTCCAGCAGCATCACCGGGCGTTCAGGGGGGGCCGTGGACCTCCCTCACTTCCAGGTGCCACCAAACGCGGGACGGGCCCCTGGCCTCAGCCCAGGGCTGACCCCGGGGCCCTGCCCTCACCCCAGCAGCCACAGCAACACCACACAGTGTTTCCCACCCGGAACCGGAGACAAGAGGAACCTGAAACTACCAGATGTGGCCGCACGGAGCCTGGCTCCTCTGTGCCCAGCCTCTGCCCCACCAGACCAGGGTGGGCCTCTGCCCCCAGCAGCCGACACCCCGACTCCTCAGACACAGAAGCCTAGACTGGGGCTCTGACTTCACAGGGATAAGGAATCACAGGCCGTGACATTGTCCCCAGCTGCCGGGCGCCCAGGACAAAAGGCGACACTGACAGGCTTCAGGGTGCTTCTCCTGAGTGCAGACCTGGGAGTGGGCTTTGAAACGGGACGAGATGTGGACAGAGAGGTGGGCGGGGACAGCACTCCAGGCTCAGAAGCAAGAAGCACCGTGGGCTTCTGGAACAGTAGGAGGACCCAGGGTGTTGAGAATCACAGGAAGCCCTAAGCCCTAGGGGTAGCGCCTGCCCGTCACCTGCCAACTGTATACATTGGGCTATCCTGGCCCTCGTTTCCTAGCCAAACACTGCCCACCCACCAAACCCGACCATGTGTGTGAAATGCCAAAGCTTTGCCCAGATGCCCACTCTTCCTTTCTGTCCCCCGCCCTCCAGGAGCTGGAAGAGGCATACCAGGACGCGGCCAGCAACGTGTTGCTGGCCATCTGTAGGCACTCGTGGCGGGTGGTGGCCCGGCACCTGGAGACCGAGGTCCTGACGGGCATCTTCCCACACCGCAGCCTCCTCTATGTGATGGGCATCCTGACCTCTACTGGTATGTCCTGCCCTAGGGACCTGAGGTACCCCCGGCCTCACCTTGGCCACTCTCTGCAGCTCCCCCGGGCCCCCAGGGCAGTGGCTGGGTTAGACAAGAAGGGAGCATAGCAAGACTGTTGCCCCGGGGGGTTCACACACGGAGCCAGGCATCACATGCCCAACAGGGAAGTGTGTCCCTGCGGGGGAGATGGGCAGTGGTCCAAGTGCCCTCCAAAGCCCCCGGCCCCATGGCCTGCCCAGGCCACATCAGGACTCCCATTGAAGGAGACCCCGGCCAGCCAGCTATGCTGCCGGCCCCCGCTGGCCCATGCTCCCACAGTAAGCATTTCCACAGTGGCCGGGACAGAAGCAGAACGGAGCAAGGCGGCTTCAGGAGGTGGTCCAGGATGGATGTGGGGCCTGCGCACTGCCACACAGTCCTGCCACTGAGGCAGACAGACGCTCCTCCTCACTAGCGGACAAGGAAGCCAAGCTCACACGGTCAGTGTGACGAGCCCAGAGCCACCCAGGAGCACATCACAGGCTGTGGCATCCAGGACCAGTGTTTCCACAGCAGGCACTGCCCCTGAGCCGTGGGCAGGGACACCCTGGAGAGTGGGGTCTCTGAGGACTCTGAGGGGGGCCCACAGGGAGTGGTCTTGCCAGGGAGAGTGTTTAGGTAATGCAAAACAACCAACTCTGGCTGAGCCCTGCCCTATGCCAGGCTCCCTGCCCTCGGGAGCTCATGGCCTCACGAGGGAGGCCAGCACCAGGCTACATTTAGGCTCTGCTCACTCGCAAGTGTGAGCTAAACACACTGCTGCCCCCAGAAGATACTGAGCTGCTCTTGTGGCAATCAGGGAGGGCTTCCGAAGGAGGACACAGCCAAGCCTGAGTCATGCTTTGAGGAATGTGTAGGAATTTGAGGAGGGAATGGTGTGTGTAGACCTCAGGGCTTTTAGTGAGGAGTTGGGGCCATGGGAGGAAATGGATGTAGTGACCCCACCATCTACAGGGGGCCGGGCCCAGCGGGAGAGGCCTCAGAGGCTGAGCTTGGGAGTTTGGGCTCTGAGGCTGGGAGGAGGCAGGTCCCAGCTGAACTGACCGGCAGGCTGGGCAGAGGTCGCTCTGTGCCCAGGTGAGTTCTGAGACCCCCAGGGCCATCCCCAAAGCAGCCCTCCCTCTGAGGTTGAGTTTCCAAAGTTCTAAAAAAGCTTTCCATTCTCACAACACCTCCCTCTCTGGGTGTCACTCCCTCCCCCGCCCGAGAGGATTCTAGCACATTCCAAATGGCCAAGCCTGGAGGGACTCCTCCATTCACCATCAGAGAGCCTGAGGCCCTGAGAGGCAACATGGGCCACCTCGGATCACAGAGCAAGGGTGACAGGGCCAGAGAGTACCAGCTATCCAGACCTTGAGCCTGAGCCCAGCTCACTGCCCTCACAAAGCCAGGACAAACAGAAGCAAGACTCGTCCTGACTCAGTCCAGTGCCCAAGGGCTAGAGGAGAAGGAGCCTGAGATCCAGCCTCCATGTGGATGTCAGACCTGGCCTCCAGCAATGCCCTTCTGTCCCACAGAGGCAATCTTCAACCAGGGAGACAAGGCTTGTTGGGAAGAGCACCTGGCCCAGGTAGGGATGAGGCCCAGGCACAAGGGCCTCCTGCGGGGATGATGGGGACAACGGGGGAGCCAAGCACCTGCTCGCCCTGGGAAGTGGGGGTGGGGGAGGGGAAGGAGAGAGAAGCCCCACCGTGACAGATGAGCAAACTGGCTTGGAGGGGAAGGGACTCCTGGGGCGAGTCCCTGGAGGAGTTGGGAGTTGAACCTTGGTCTCTAGACGCCAGGTGCGAGCAGGTGTCGGCAGACAAGGCCCTTCCTCCCCACCTGGGTGCTGGATTCACAAGCAAGGGGCCAGAGCGCATGTGGAGACCAGATCCGAGCCCAGGGAGGGAGGAAGCAGGCCAGAGTGGACCGAGCCACCACAGCCAGGAGCGGTGGCATGCAAGCCTCCTCTGACCACAAGCCCACGTGAGGGGCTCCTGTGGCTGGAGAAGGGACAGGGGCCGCCTGGCAGACCTAGGTCTGAGTCCAGATTTAACCAACCACAGCTGTGTGACCTGGGCAGCCTACTTTGCCTCTCTGTTCCTTAGCTTCCTGGTCTGTCCAGTGGGGATAAAAATACCTCGCTCAAATATTCATTGTGAGGACTACAGGACATAATCCACACAAAGTGCTTGTCACCATGCTTGATACACGGGAGGCCTCGCTAAATGCTGGTTAACATTTCTAGTTACGAATAATAGCGGCAGCGGTCACTGTCACAAGTGCCATCCGGCAGGTATAATAGCAGGGCTGCAGGAACACGAGTAAGTAATAGGAAAATAGGACAAAATCACTAAGGATAGAGAAGTCTTGAACAACATAATTAACCAAATTGATTTAATTGACGTTTCTTTCAAATGCAAATAGGACATTCACCAAGACAGGTCGTTTTCTGGGCCATATATCAAGTTTCAATAAATTTAAAAAGACTGAAATCAAACAGAGTACACTATTTGACCAGAACGTAGATCAGAGATCAGTAGCAAAAATGTATGTGGAAAAACTCCAACTATTCGGAAATTAGACAGTACACTTCTAAACGACCCATGGGTCAAAGAAGTCACAAGAGAAAGTAGAAAACACCTTGAACTGAACAATCATGAAAACACAATGTGTGAGAACTCGTGGGGTTCGACATAAAGCAACCTCAGAAGGAAATTTGTTTTAACGCCTATGTTAAAAAAGAAAGATATAAAATCTATTATCTAAAAAGCTTTCCAAAAAGGTACAAATTGAACACAAAGTAAGTAAGAAGGAAGGAAATAATAAAATCTAGAGTACAAATGAAGGAAATTTTTTAAAGCAACAAAACAATAGTGAAAAAACCCAACAGTAAGTTATTCAAAAACTTTGATAAAATGATAAGCTCTTTGACAGCCTGAGCCAAAAAAGTTAAAAATACAAAATGCCACTCTCAAGACAAAAAAAAATATCACTACACATCTGTTAGGCATGGGACGGCAATAATAAAATATGATCCCAATAAATTAAGCATTTTCGATTGCATAGACAAAGTCCCTGAAAAACACAAACTACCAAACTAACACAAGAAGAAACAAAAAATCTAAGTAGTCTTGTATCAGAGAAATTGGAATCGTAATTATAAACCTTCTCACAAAAAAAGCTCCAGGCCCAGATACTTCATGGGTTAATTCCATTACATAATTAAGAAATAAATACTATCAATTCTCTACGAATTCTCTCAGAAAAGAGGAGAAGCAGGAACACACCCCAAATCACATTATGAGGACAGAGCAAACCTAATACCAAAGCCAGACAAAGACATTACAGAACACTATAAACACCCGTCATGAAGATAAAGTCAAATTCCTTAATAAAATATACACAAAATGAATCCAGCAAAATACAAAAAAAAGACAATACACCACGATGAAGGGGGGTTTACTCCAGGGACATGAGGTCAAATTAACATTTGAACAGCAGTAAGTGCCATTCAATGCATTCACAGAATAAAGTACGGAAATTATCGTCTTCTCAGTTAAGGAAAAGCATTTGACCACAGGCAACATCCACTGGTAATTTGATGTGTGTTTTCCCACCAAGTGATTCTCCAGTTCTTAGTGGACCCTGACTGGGTGTCCTCTCAGCTCTGACATGACCTGGAGACGGCATCAGACCCCACAGGTGGAAGGCTCCGTCCCATAAGAAAGACAGCCCCACCTCAGACGCCAACTGCAAGTCCAGCTTGTGACTTTTCTTCTGACCCACCAGCTACAGATCAGAGGTTCCCCCACCCCTCTCCCCCTGCCATGGGTTTGATTCATTTGCTAGAGTGGCTCACAGAACTCAGAGAACATCTCATTCCTGGATCACGGGTTTATTGTAAGAGCAGCTAACCCAGGAGCAGCCAGACAGCAGCAGCCCCCAGGGCCTGGCGTGAGGAAGGGTGCCGAGATCCCATGCTCTCTCTGGGCCTGCCACTCTCCCCATACCTGCGCCAACATGGAAGCTCTTGGCCCCCAGTCCTGTCGCGTGTTTATGGAGGCTTCATTACTAGGCCTGACTGAGGAATTGTTGGGCATTGGTAATGACGTCAATAATCATCCCCCTCTCCTCCCTGAAGGTTGACAATAGGACTGAAAGTTCCAACCCTCTAATCATGGTCAGCTCCCCTGGCCGCCAGCCCCCACCTTGTGGCTACCGACCTACAGACTCTCCAAAAGTGACCACATCAGCTTCAACTCAGTTGTGGTTTTAGAGGCTTTTGTGAAAACAAAAGACACCTTTATCTTTCTTACCACTTAGGAAGTCCCAAGGGCTATAGGGGCTCTGCCAGAAATGGGACAAGAGCAAATATGTATCTCGTATTATAAATCACAATATCATAATCATAATGGCCCTCAAAGTAGGAGTAGAAAGAAATTGATCTCTCTGGAGAAACTTGAGCTAAAGATGACCAACTGAGCACTTTCCTACCGAAAACCAGAAGGAGGCAGAGCTCCCACCCCTGCATTCCTGGTGCACATTGCCCTGAAGTTTCTAACCAGCGTAAGAAGGTCAGAAAAGGTGGGGAATGACATACGGGGAACGACATACACACGGCTTGCAGTGGAAAAATTAAAACTGACTTTCTTGGCAGACAATGTGGTTGTATATACAGAAAACCTTACAGAAGCTTTAAAAACACTACAACTAGTAGAAATCAGCAAGATCTCAAAATATAAGATCAATATGTAGAAGTCTACTGAATGTCTATAGACCAGCAATAAAAAATAACAGTGACCTAGTGACATTAAAAACATGAAAGACACAAAGACACAGGTACCAAAATGTCCGCAGGGGCCTCACCAAACAGTATAGAAAGCAGTTAAAGACGAGCCTACGCAAGTGGAAATATGGGATGTTCATGGGTAAGAAAGCTCAGCAGCGGTAAGATGTCGATTCTCCCAAAATCAGTTGATAAATTCAGTGTAAGACCTATCAACCTACAAAACTTTAAATTGTCATTAAATGAAAGTTTTAAATAAAAATTAAATAACGTTTTACTTCAAATAGTTAATTTTTAAATAAAAATTAAAACTTTACACGGAAATTGCAAAGGACCTAGATTAGCCAAAACAATCCTGGAAAAGGGAGAAAGTTGCAAGAATCATAGCACCTGATTTCGAGATTTACCATTGTTTAAAAAAATTTTGAGTAAATGTAAAATTCTGTTTGCTTTATTCAGTGAATCATGAATTGGGCAACCTCCCATCTGGTGTGTAGAAGGGGGCTGCAAAGTCGTGCTCACATGGGAGTATTTATAGGCAGAAGAGGTGGGGGCCAGGGAGGAACAGGGTACGGCACCTTTCCTTGGGGGCTGGCAGGGGTCTACCAGGCATCTACCTCGCCCCTGCTGGCCGGGAGATCCCAGAGTGACCACAGGTCACAGGCACAAGTGAGTCCGTGTGGGGCTTCTTGTGTCTCTCTCTTAACGGTGGTCCCCTTTGGGTCAGACTCACGGCTTAATGAGAGGTGTGGTCAGAAGCCAAGGCGTTCGCAAAACCCCCACAATGACTGTGAGGTTCCTGCCGCCTCTGTCCACCCCGGGAATGTGACACTCCCAGGTCGTGGCATGTCTTGGGGAGGTCGTTGGCTTGGTGATCCGTGGCCCACCCTAGGGTTGTTGCTGTGACTATTATGAGCAGGGTAATTCTAAGAAGCTGATGGAGGGGTCATCAAGGGTCCCATGATCTCCCCGTGCAGGGAGTGCCTGCATCGCTGGGGACAGTGGGAGGTACACCCCAAGGGGGAAACATGTTCTCCAACAGTTTCTTTGTCACTGTGAGGGCAGGGGTCTGGCAGCAGGGGAAGTCTTTGACCCATCCAGAAAACAGCGTCGGGTAGCAAGGACGCGTCAATTACCCATGACACGTGGTGGTGGACAAGGTTCACGCACAGGTGTTCAGAGCACCTGCACACGGGGTCCGAGTTTGTGACTCTCAACTGACTCACAGTTTCTCTGCAGCAGACTCCCCTCCCATGAGACCCTTCTGCTTTCCCACCCGAGCCCCATCTCACACGGCAGCGCTGCTCATCCCCCGTGTCCTGGGGCTCTCCTCGCTGGGCGGAGATCGTAACACGGGGGATGAGCAGCACTGCCCTGGGAATGGGGCTCAGGTGGGAAAGCAGAAGGGTCTCATGGGAGGGGAGTCTGCTGCAGAGAAACACTGAGTCAGTTGAGAGTCACAAAACTTGGGACCCCGTGTGCAGTTTGCAAATAAGCGTCATTTCCTAGGGTGACATCTGCCAAGGCTTCTCCTCACTTGGCAGCCCTGGCGGGAGCCGTTGGACATCTTGTTGGGAGCTGAGTGCAGCAGGTGGCTGCCCCCGTCCTACAGAGGCACGATTTCCCAGGGATGCAGGGGTGTTTCATGCTCGGGGGGGCACTTGGGACAAATAAAAAGGGGCCTCAGGGAGCCTTGGGGGCATAACTGCCCAGGCATCTTGCCGACTGTTCCAAGTCAGTGCCAATAGGTATCGGGCTGCTGGGGTCCAGGGACACTGGAAGAGACTGAACAAAGTCCA